CATAGGGAGTCTCCTTCCCTCCTACATAGGGAGTTTCCCTCCTACATAGAAGTCTCCTTCCCTCCTACATAGGAAGTCTCCTTCCCTCCTACATAGGGAGTCTCCTTCCTACAAAGGGAGTCTCCCTCCTTCATAGGGAGTATCCTTCCCTCCCTCCTACATAGGGAGTCTCCCTCCCTCCTGCATAGGGAGTCTCCCTTCGATTCTACATAGGGAGTCTCCCTCCCTCCTACATAGGNCCTCCCCCCTACATAGGGAGTATCCTTCCTACATAGGGAGTCTCCCTCCCTCCTACATAGGGAGTCTTCCTCCCTCCTACATAGGGAGTCTCCTTCCCTCCTACATAGGGAGTCTCCCTTCCATTCTACATAGGGAGTCTCCCTCCCTCCTACATAGGGAGTCTCCCTCCCCCCTACATAGGGAGTATCCTTCCTACATAGGGAGTCTCCCTCCCTCCTACATAGGGAGTCTTCCTCCCTTCTACATAGGAAGTCTCCCTCCCCCCTACATAGGGAGTATCCTTCCTACATAGGGAGTCTCCCTCCCTCCTACATAGGGAGTCTTCCTCCCTCCTACATAGGGAGTCTCCCTCCCCCCTACATAGGGAGTATCCTTCCTACATAGGGAGTCTCCCTCCCTCCTACATAGGGAGTCTTCCTCCCTTCTACATAGGAAGTCTCCCTCCCCCCTACATAGGATATATTTACAATGTAACAGGAGTCTCCCTCCCTCCTACATAGGGAGGCTTCCTCCCTCCTACATAGGGAGTCTTCCTCCCTCCTACATAGGGAGTCTCCCTCCCCCCTACATAGGGAGTATCCTTCCTACATAGGAAGTCTCCCTCCCTCCTACATAGGGAGTCTCCCTCCCTCCTACATAGGAAGTCTCCTTCCCTCCTACATAGGGAGTCTCCTTCCCTCCTACATAGGGAGTCTCCCTCCTTCATATGGAGTCTTCCTCCCTCCTACATAGGGAGTTTTCCTCCCTCCTACATAGGGAGTCTCCCTTCCATTCTACATAGGGAGTTTCCCTCCCTCCTACATAAGGAGACTCCCTCCCCCCTACATAGGGAGTCTCCTTTTTGCAATATAATGCATATAAAAACGTGTTTTGCAGAATCAAATCGTTTCTCTTCATGTTGTCTAAATGAACTCGTCCGCAGATAAATCTCCTTAATGTCTGGTTCTGGAGCTGCTTCTTCTGTTTTCATGCCTTGACGTATGGACCAAAGTGATGACTGGGGCTGGAAATAATTGAATTATTAAAAACTAGCTGTTGATGTGAACTCTAGTACTTGTCAAATAAATGATGCTGTGGTGCATATAACGAAGTGGAAGAGACAACTCGATATGGTTATAAAAACATTAAACTGAAGATCCAACAAGAAAAATGCGTCAATGACTTTGAAGTGCAAGGGTATTGGTAAAAATTCTTGATATGTGGGCTTTACACTGGTGAGGAGTATTACTCGGTGTCGGCCAAACTCTGCATCAGAAGTCTGAGAACAGTTTTATCCATTTCGTTCAGATGGACCATGCACTCTGTCCTGCTTCGGTTTATTTGTGCCGCGCCTGGTTCCCTATTTCAAATAGACATCCTTTTAATTGGTTCCATGCAGTATCCATCCATATATGAACCATTCTACACGAGGAAATGAAAACCCAGTTGAAAGTTAATTTTATCCATTTTTTATAAATACATGAATTAATAAATGTAAATTATAAACACGAATGCAAATGATCATTGTTTAAAGAAAAAGTTGCCGATACACCACTGCTTTTATTTGTACTACACTGGCTTTATACGTCTCTGAATATTTAAACACGTACTTAGATAGTTATAATTTAAGTATACCTGTAAGTGTATCTGAATTATTCAGACTATGGTTAAATACTATCATTAAAAACAGGGTCTAAATATACATTTTAGATCTAAGAACCTGCTTCATGTTGTGTTTGGTCAATTACGCTTTATATAATACACTAGGATTCGCGAAAATTGATCCATATATGCAGAGACGTATATACTATATGCCTACCCTATCCGCTAGCTGATCATGGCCAAATCTCTTTTAGCGGTCTGTCATCGAGAATATATTCTTATGGTCTAGGGGAGGTAACTCTGATAGCAGGTGTCCCGGCGCCAAAGATGAAACTGGGAAGCTGCAGTGCAAAGAGCAACATTCGGCTTACAAGTATGAGACAATGTCGACGTTTCGGTAGACGGTCGTGGTAAAGGTGTAGGTATACTGTATGTGACAGAAAACTAGGGCACTGTATACGAAACTGTAGTAGCTCAGTTCGGAGCGTGTGACAGTGACATCAGCTCAGCTGATATCTTCTAAAAGATAGGCCTAATAATCCGTCGATCCCGACATAAGGGAAATGACAATATAGAGAAAACAGAGCAGATCTGTCACCATGGAGATTTTTTTCTCAGATTTTAATGAACAATATCATGAGTAATTTGGGGAGTTAATCTACAAGGTCACTGTCACTATTTAAGAAATCACAGGGACCTGAAAATAAGATAGAGAAGTATATAAGATATATTGTGTCTATGGATAATTGGGGGTTTTATGGGTTTAGATCAACACTTGATGAAATGTTATTTCAACAGTTGATCTGAAACCTAAATAATACTCCCTACTCATTAGATAGACAAAACATCATGTAACCTTCTCGTGTCCCTGTGTAGGAATTGTCGGCCATGAGTCATACATGTGTGCATGTCCCCAAGATATTAGACTACTTAAGCTTGTGGCAGGATACAATTAATACTCTGTTTATACTCCTTTGGAAAAGGACACTTGTACATCTTGATAACAAATTAAATAAAAACAACAAATACCCGGCCCCCAAGACATATATATATATGAGAATCAATTAATACATTAATCTAGAGATCATGGACAGGGTTTTATTTTCTGATGCCTCATGACGGTGTATTTTAATCGTTAAAGGTTTCTGTGTAGTATGGCTAACTTGTGTGATGTGGTGTACATCTTGTTTTATAAAAAAGTATGAGTAAGTAAAATTTTAAGTGTATTACACACTTCAGCGCTCTTACCAATAAAACATTGAGGCAAGAATATCCTGAGGGAAAATTTAAACATACTCTGCATCAAATGTATAGAGTAAATATATGTGTACATGTATGTCTGTAGAGACAGAAACAGCTGTGTACGTGATTAATAAGTGAGTCTAGTCAGTATTTGAAGTGTCAAGTGTTGCATGTGTATATTTTATTTCTGTCTGGTAATGTCTTTAGCTGCAGTCTGGAATTTGTTCAAGGTTTGTACATTATAATGTTATTATATGGAGAAGTTATTTACATTTGTACATTATAATGTTATTATATGGAGAAGTTACTTACATTTGTACATTATAATGTTATTATATGGAGAAGTTACCTACATTTGTACATTGGTATACGACAGTGAATGAAGTTTCATCAACATATATATATGTATTTTGTTGGAATATACAACAAGCAATATGTTTTTAGACTCAGCATGGTTAGACATAAGGCTAGTCTGACATTTGGGCCAACAAGAGAAATAAGTATAAGATAATTATTTCATAATTAGGGGATAACCCTACTGTACTTAGAAATTTGCGGCGATATATAATGATTATAATGTCGCAAAATGAGTTCTACTGGTGGAACAGAGCCAGTAGAACGGATATTTGCGACAGTATAATCACGATATACCGCCACAAATTTCAAAATACAGTAGGGTTATCTCCATTTAAATTCATATCACCTTAAACCAACGAAAGAAACAACAATTTCAAGATATTCTTCTTTAAATTCTGGGTCTCTCTGCTGTGGATTGGTGACGTCAGAAATATTCAAAGTGAGATGGAATCACGTTGTCCTTTCGGGGTCATGCTATTGTTCGTGACGTCATGAATAATCAATTTCATGACGTGTCAGGGTCAGTCGGGTCATCGACGTCATTAACAATCCCGACGGTATATCATGGTTTTACTGTCGCAAAATATTTTGATTGTCCAATAAAATGCCTTGTCACATCTCAAATGAATTAGCATTGTTGTTCAATATATCAAATTTATTTATTCCTGGGGACTTAATCCAAGGGCAATAACATGAAAATTAATTAGATACCCCACCATTATTATAAAGGATTTCAACTGAATATTCGTTATAAATCATCATTTGTACTTGGGACCCGTGGGAGTCACTTGTTGTATAAAGGAAGAAGGTAACCCTCCTGGGGGTTATGTTACAGATAACGAATAGCTGAGCGATGCAGGCCCAATTTATCTATGACCTATTGGCCTAATTGGCCTCTTGTTAAAATGAACCTTTAAAACTTAAAATTTCTACATTCCACATTTAAGTTCATACACTACACAATTAAGAAAATTAAATTTGTTCGTGTTATTGTCTTGAGCAACTCAAATTTTCACATTTTTTATCGATTTTCTTGTTTTCTTGTAGGATACCATCCATTGTAGAGATGCTGCAGTTTCTCAGCGTAATTCTGGTCCTGTCACTTCCTTTGTTCTCCATAGTGAGGACCACTGACCTGGAATGGGATGACAGAGGTTACATTTTGTTCTGTCTCTGTATGGGTAAGTACAATAGACTATCACCTACTATATAAATATGGTGGACAGAAAACATTTCCCTGACAGCCAGTAACCATGGCTTTCAGTTGATTCTTGGCATTTGGCAATTTCAGAAGTCAAACCACTGCTTTTCAAGGTATGAGTTGGGATGTATGGCTTGGGCCTTTTTTGCCCCAGATTCCATAAAAATTCAAAATCTTCAAGTGAATATTCAAATCACTGTTTTTCAAACTTTGAAATATCTATTTGTGTTTTCAGATATGGCTGCCACATGGTAACTGGTTCAAATTTACATGAATTAGTAAATTTGAATATTCAGTCAAATTTGTGAAGTTTTTGCATTTTTTTTCTTGAAAAAATCTCGATGAATATTCTATATATATTCTCCTAAAGATGTGTTTATGACAAATGTCTACTCTTTCTCCTTTGATTTTTAATTTGAATGGGTGAGCTCTTTAGTGTCTACATGTAAGAGAAAAACTACACAAAGACTGGACAAAATTGACCAAATATCAAAATTTTATACTAATATCTGCAAATTTGAACTCAGATTTTATATCAAGGTTAATTGGTTCAATTTAAAAAAGATGACCAGAACCAGGGCAAACTATGTACACATGTTTATGTTCAATTGTTTTGTTAGCCGTTTATGTGTTCCTTCATACTGGTACCTGTTCTTGTTAATTATCACTTGGTTCATTCTACAGGGCGGTTTGGGAACCAAGCAGAACACTTTTTAGGCGGTCTGGCATTCGCTAAAGCTGTGGACAGGACCCTGATTCTACCTCCGTGGCGCACATATGTAATTACTGTTTGAACAAAACATACATATGTAATTACTGTTTGAACAAAACACACATATGTAATTACTGTTTGAACAAAACACATATGGAATTACTGTTTGAACAAAACACACATTCGTACTTACTGTTTGAACAAAACACACATTCATACTTACTGTTTGAACAAAACACACATATGTAATTACTGGTTGAACAAAACACACACATGTAATTACTGGTGGAACAAAAAACACATTCGTACTTACTGTTTGAACAAAACACACATTCGTACTTACTGTTTGAACAAAAAACACATATGTAATTACTGTTTGAACAAAACACATATGTAATTACTGGTTGAACAAAACACATTCGTACTTACTGTTTGAACAAAACACACATATGTAATTACTGTTTGAACAAAACACACATTCATACTTACTGTTTGAACAAAACACACATTCGTACTTACTGTTTGAACAAAACACACATTCGTAATTACTGTTTGAACAAAACACACCTATGTAATTACTGTTTGAACAAAACACACATTCATACTTACTGTTTGAACAAAACACACACATATGAAGTTAATGATTTAATAAAACAAAATATTATTAATGTATAACTGAAATACGTAATTGTGCGTAAACTAAACAAAAACATGTACAGTTGAACTACTTATTATGATACAGGATATCATGATAATACAAAGGTAACTTAACACAATGAGACTTATGATTAAACAACTTTACATAGAATTAAACACACATTTATACATGTATGTAAGTGAACAAGTACACATTTGTAATTAAAAAAATACACACCAGTATGTCATTTAGCAGTTAACAGATAATTAAGTAGACATTGTCCTGATAATGTTATAATTTAACAGTTAACAGATAATTAAGTAGACATTGTCCTGATAATGTTATAATTCAACACAGATAATTAAGTAGACATTGTCCTGATAATGTTATAATTCAACACTTCACAGATAATTAAGGCGACATTGTCCTGATAATGTTATAATTTAACAGATAACAGATAATTAAGGAGACATTGTCCTGACAATGTTATAATTTAACAGTTAACAGATAATTAGGGAGACATTGTCCTGATATTGTTATAATTCAACAGTTAACAGATAATTAAACTGTTTGAACAAAACACACATTCGTACTTACTGTTTGAACAAAACACACATGCATACTTACTGTTTGAACAAAACACACACATATGAAGTTAATGATTTAATAAAACAAAATATTATTAATGTATAACTGAAATACGTAATTGTGCGTAAACTAAACAAAAACATGTCCAGTTGAACTACTTATTATGATACAGGATATCATGATAATACAAAGGTAACTTAACACAATGAGACTTATTATTAAACATCTTTACATAGAATTAAACACACATTTATACTTGTATGTAAGTGAACAAGTACACATTTGTAATTAAAAAAATCCACACCAGTATGTCATTTAGCAGTTAACAGATAATTAAGTAGACATTGTCCTGATAATGTTATAATTCAACACAGATAATTAAGTAGACATTGTCCTGATAATGTTATAATTCAACACTTCACAGATAATTAAGGCGACATTGTCCTGATAATGTTATAATTTAGCAGTTAACAGATAATTAAGGAGACACTGTCCTGATAATGTTATAATTTAACAGTTAACAAATAATTAAGGAGACATTGTCCTTATAATGTTATAATTCAACACAGATAATTAAGTAGACATTGTCCTGATAATGTTATAATTTAGCAGTTAACAGATAATTAAGGAGACACTGTCCTGATGATGTTATAATGGAACAGTTAACAGATAATTAAGGAGACATTTTCCTGATAATGTTATAATTTAGCAGTTAACAGATCATTAAGGAGACATGGTCCTGATAATGTTATAATTTAACAGTTAACAAATAATTAAGGAGACACTGTCCTGATAATGTTATAATTTAAAAGTTAACAGATGATTAAGGAGGCTTTGTCCTGATAATGTTATAATGTAATAGTTAACAGATAATTGAGGAGACATTGTCCTGATAATGTTATAGTTTAGCAGTTAACAGATAATTAAGGAGACATTTTCCTGATAATGTTATAATTTAGCAGTTAACAGATAATTAAGGAAACATGGTCCTGATAATGTTATAATTTAACAGTTAACAAATAATTAAGGAGACATTGTCCTTATAATGTTATAATTCAACACAGATAATTAAGGAGACATTTAACAGTTAACAGATAATTAAGGAGACACTGTCCTGATAATGTTATAATTTAACAGTTAACAGATAATTAATGAGACATTGTCCTGATAATGTTATAATTCAACACAGATAATTAAGGAGACATTTAACAGTTAACAGATAATTAAGGAGCCATTGTCCTGATGATGTTATAATTTAACAGTTAACAGATAATTAATGAGACATTGTCCTGATAATGTTATAATTCAACACAGATAATTAAGGAGACATTTAACAGTTAACAGATAATTAAGGAGACATTTTCCTGATAATGTTATAATTTAGCAGTTAACAGATAATTTAGGAGACATGGTCCTGATAATGTTATAATTTAACAGTTAACCGATAATTAAGGAGACATTGTCCTGATAATGTTATAGTTTAGCAGTTAACAGATAATTAAGGAGACACTGTCCTGATAATGTTATAATTTAACAGTTAACAAATAATTAAGGAGACATTGTCCTTATAATGTTATAATTCAACACAGATAATTAAGTAGACATTGTCCTGATAATGTTATAATTCAACACAGATAATTAAGTAGACATTGTCCTGATAATGTTATAATTCAACAGTTAACAGATAATTAAGGAGACATTTTCCTGATAATGTTATAATTTAGCAGTTAACAGATAATTAAGGAGACACTGTCCTGATGATGTTATAATCTAACAGTTAACAGATAATTAAGGAGACACTGTCCTGATGATGTTATAATGGAACAGTTAACAGATAATTAAGGAGACACTGTCCTGATGATGTTATAATGGAACAGTTAACAGATAATTAAGGAGACACTGTCCTGATAATGTTATAATTTAAAAGTTAACAGATGATTAAGGAGGCTTTGTCCTGATAATGTTATCATGTAACAGATAATTGAGGAGACATTGGCCTGATAATGTTATAATTTACAAATGAGACATTGTCCTGATGATGTTATAATTTAACAGTTAACAGATAATTAATGAGACATTGTCCTGATAATGTTATAATTCAACACAGATAATTAAGGAGACATTGTCCTGATAATGTTATAATTCAACACAGATAATTAAGGAGACATTGTCCTGATAATGTTATAATGTAACAGTTAACAGATAATTAAGGAGACATTGTCCTGATAATGTTATAATTTAACAGTTAACAAATAATTAAGGAGACACTGGCCTGATAATGTTATAATTTAACAGTTAACAAATAATTAAGGAGACACTGTCCTGATAATGTTATAATTTAACAGTTAACAAATAATTAAGGAGATACTGTCCTGATATTGTTATAATGTAACAATTAACAGATAATTAAGGAGACATTGTCCTGATAATGTTATAATTTAACACAGATAATTATGGAGACATTATCCTGATGATGTTATAATTTAACAGTTAACAGATAATTTAGGAGACATTGTCCTGATAATGTTATAATTCAACACAGATGATTGATCTATAATCTCTGTTTATTGATAACAAGTGGCTTTTTGAAAATTATTTTTATTAACTCTTAATTTCATTTTCTATAGATATATTACTATGAGCAGGAATGAGCATCCTGTAATCCTACTACATGAATGTATGTCTTTTTCTGTATCTGTCATAGGTGTGCATCCTGTCTTTCATTTCAATCAAAAGAATTCCCACTGGGATGTAAGGTTTTTGACCAAAAGACTATTCAGTACACACTGTATCATACAAGATAACCTGGTACTTGTGTTATCGAGAGGGTATATTTTTTGTCTACAAATTTGAGTGTTTTCTGCAATCAAGAAAACTTACTTTTCAAATAAATAGATGACCTTTAACATTATGAGAAGAAAGCATTTAGAACACAACTGTTTCATTCAGAAAAATGTCCCATTTGGTGAGTGGTTTGATGTGGCTAGTGTAAGAGAATATCACAGAGTGATCACAGCTGAGGACTTCATGGAGAGACTGGCCCCTAAATACTGGCCCCAAGGGAACAGGACAGGCTACTGTTTTGGCTACCAAGGGTCAGACAAACCCTGTAAAATGAAGGAAGGTAGGTACATACACACTGGCCCCAGGGGAACAGATGAATGGTGTATGTACAGATGATCAGGTACACCCTATCAAATGAAGAAAGATAGATATAGGCATATGCAAACTGATCCAAAAGGGAACCGGGCATCATACAAATGGTCAGTTTGGCCTTGTAAGGTGAAGGAATGTAGGTACATAATTACTGACCTTAAAGAACAGATGAACAAAGGAGATTATACAATGAATTCTGCTGATAAAAGAGTAACTATGTCTATGCTATATACCAAAAGGGAATCAATTTGGACCGTTCTGGCACAGCTTGGAGTAGAATTTCAATTTGGCAAGTGTATATAATACATATATTCAGGCCAAAATGTTTGAGGACATTTATAAATTAATAAGAATTAAAAAGACAGATGATATTCTTTCATTTTGGATCATTTTAATTGTACAGCCCCGTCAACAATTTCCTGTTGTGACCGGTGTGCCTCAATAGGATGTCATTGATGGGGCTGTGCAATAAAAATTCTGAAGAAGACAAATATATACAATGACTGAAATGTGAAGACTGTCATCAGTCTTTTTTTCTCTCTCTAAAATATGTGACTCTCATGTGACATGTTATGACAGGTGTATATTATCAGCCGATCTGTCAAGTATGGATTTGTAAATGGAGTGAAATGAGTTGGGAGTAGTAATAATAGGTGTTAGCTAAATGAAATTGCAGTCATATGACGTTAATTGAAACTGGCGTGAAAAAAAGCCACATGAGCACTGAGTACTGAGTTAAGTCAGGTATGTGCAGGCCTCCCATTCAGTTTGAGTTTGTAAGTTAAGTCAGGTATGTGCAGGCCTCCCATTCAGTTTGAGTTTGTAACTGGACAGTGTGCCAACATTTTAAACTAGTACTCTTTGTGTCTATTTTCTGACCTGGTAATGATGTTTATGTGATATGCCCACAGGGAATCCGTTTGGACCGTTCTGGGACGGCCTGGGAGTAGAGTTTGACAACAGTGTGTCCTATCATGTCATGTATACAGACACCACTGGCTGGAGGATAAGGTAAACAGGGCTAGAAACTATTTTTTTAATACCACTAGTTTGTCATGTGCAAATTCCACTAACCTAATATTATTCAACATGATAAGTATAACAAATTTTGACTGGTCAATTGGGCTGGCGGTTTTTAGAAACACTAGTCCAGCTGTAGATTTCACTAGTCTCAGACTATCAGGTTATATTTGTGTCTTGTAATATCAATATCACTTAGCAGTTTTAATTTTAATATGAAATAATAATGTACAACATTTGATATAGCGCCCTATCTAGCTAGAATAAGCCACTCCAAAGCGTTTTACAGTACATAGATATACAATTAATACAATAAACATATAAATACAAGTCCTATGCCACCTGGCTAACATCTCCCTATGTGTGTATGCCTGCGAGTGTAATGGAGATGTATTTTGATACATTCATCCTTAAGACTTAATCAGATTTTTGAATAACTGGACATCAACCAATTTGTTTGTTCAGAATGGACAGGTTTTCCATTGCAGTGATGAGGTTTTGACTTATGCAGGTTTAATATAGTTTACAGCTAATTTTCAGTATGTGGAGGATTTTTGACAATTTATTTTTGTTATAACGCATTAAGAATGGATAGGATATGAACATTCAGCTCTATGATATATTATGAAGATGTATCGTTACATTATGATAAGCTTGAAAATCCAATCCTGACCTATTGTATGTGAGAGATGTTTTTCAAATCAGTGGTTCTCTGGTTGTATCTCTCCTTAACATGTACATTGTACTTCAATATAGACACCCACAACCATTATTTCCCATTGATCTAATGTATAATCAGCATGACAGGATATTTGTTTGACTAAATATAAGGTTTATCGTAGTTTCATATTATGAGTCCAAATTTAAAAATCAAGAAAGATTTGACATTTTTCTGGCATTTTTTGGAACCTTTAGAATTTCCCTCAGCTGGTTGTATTAATAGGAAATCACATTGAACCCATCTTTAACAGATTATTCAGGATTTATTTCAGAAAGGTTGCATGGAACAATTGATGGACATTATTTATAAGTCATTTGGGTGATGATATTTTACATTTTGTTGTCCATGAAAGTTTGTACAGTACAGCTATATATAAGTACATGTAATTATCAGGAAAGTTTTTATTCTTCTATTCAGTCTGCAGTATTACACGTTCAAGCTAGTAACTTTAAATAAGTTATTCTGACTATTGGTTCTTAGGTTCCCAGCTGATAAGGAGCCTGTTGTGGCCCTCAAGGGAGCTCCAGCACCTTACCCCATGGCGGAGAACACTGTTCCTCTCCAGAAGTACCTCAAATGGTCATCAATAATAGAGGTTGAGGTTAAAGGTCACATCACCAAGATGTTCAGGGGAGAAAAGTTTATTGGGATTCACCTTCGCAATGGTGTAGACTGGGTAAGACTTGGAAGATGAACTGTTATGTACATTGTACAGTAGTGCCCCGTTATTCCCCACCTTTTGTCCCGTGCCAGTTTTGTTGGTATAACGGGGGTGGCTATACAACAGGGTTTTAGTAGGACAGCCAGTTGTAGGACACATGTGCCTGAGATGTACATCTATGTGTAACAAGCACTGCATATACATACACATGTATTTATTTTGAAATGAATGCAAACAAGTAATGTATATCATTTGCAGCTTTTAAACATTATAAGTTAATAAAAAAGATGTTACATTTGTATAATTCACCGTCTTGTAACACAATCTGTGATACAGAGTACAGACACATATGGTCGTCACACATTTTTATCAAGGGCGTCTTCTACCTGAGTGGACTGTTCTGTGGGAACCATTTTATCTCTCGGTGTATTCAAACATTTAACGTCGTGTTTAGTTCTGTCGTGTATCGATTTGTAAAATTATCTAGTTTACGTAGCGTTGGTAATTGAAATCCGAATTGACTGCCATGATGGACACTTCGTCTCTGTTCGGGTATAGGTCAGACTTCTATATATGGGTGTCATGACCAAAAATGGAAAACGTAAATATGGGGGCACAAGTACTAAAACCTTATTTGGTAATGCAAGCCATATAAAGTAACGGAAATTGAGAAAACATCACGCGTTTATTTTATTCATTATACTGATGTTAGGCGTTAATTATAAGTAATCTTATAGATTATGGGGTATACCAGGGGACTACTGTACAATGATAGATATCTGAGTTTGACTTGTGTGATATCATTAGTTAGACTTAAAAAAGGTGGAGTCGGGGAATTCCTGTGGTCTGAGAGACGTTTTAACAGTTGATGTCTTGTATTGAAAAAAAGGTGCATGGTAAGAAATAAAATTGAAGGCTATAAAATAATGAGGTGATAGTGTTATTAGAAATGATTGTCTTACAATCTTAAATGGTTTGTTTACCTATTGATATCCAACTGTATGTGTGACCAGGGGTCGATAAAGGGTCATGTCCAACTGTATGTGTAACCAGGGGTCGATAAAGGGTAATGTCCAACTGTATATGTGACCAGGGGTTGATAAAGTTTCATGTCCACCAGTATCTGTGACCAGGGGTCAATAAAGGGTCATGTCCAACAGTATCTGTGCCCAGGGGTCAATAAAGGGTCATGTCCAACAGTATCTGTGCCCAGGGGTCAATAAAGGGTCATGTCCAACAGTATCTGTGCCCAGGGGTCAATAAAGGGTCATGTCCAACAGTATCTATGACCAGGGGGCAATTACATTGTAAGGGTCATGTCCAATAGTATCTGTGACCAGGGGGAAATTAAGGGTCATGTCCAATAGTATCTGTGACCAGGAGGCAATAAAGGGTCATGTCCAATAGGATCTGTGACCAGGGGGCAATTAAGGGTCATGTCCAACTGTATCTGTGACCAGGGGTCAATAAAGGGTCATGTCCAACTGTATGTGTAACCAGGGGTCGATAAAGGGTAATGTCCAACTGTATATGTGACCAGGGGTTGATAAAGTTTCATGTCCAACAGTATCTGTGACCAGGGGTCAATGAAGGGTCATGTCCAACAGTATCTGTGACCAGGGGTCAATACAGGGTCATGTCCAACAGTATCTGTGACCAGGGGTCAATACAGGGTCATGTCCAACAGTATCTGTGACCAGGGGTCGATAAAGGGTCATGTCCAACTGTATGTGTAACCAGGGGTCGATAAAGGGTAATGTCCAACTGTATATGTGACCAGGGGTTGATAAAGTTTCATGTCCAACAGTGTCTGTGACCAGGGGTCAATAAAGGGTCATGTCCAATAGTATCTGTGACCAGGGGTCAATAAAGGGTCATGTCCAACAGTATCTGTGCCCAGGGGTCAATAAAGGGTCATGTCCAACAGTATCTGTGACCAGGGGGCAATTACATTGTAAGGGTCATGTCCAATAGTATCTGTGACCAGGAGGCAATAAAGGGTCATGTCCAATAGTATCTGTGACCAGGGGGCAATAAAGGGTCATGTCCAATAGTATCTGTGACCAGGGGGCAATTAAGGGTCATGTCCAATAGTATCTGTGACCAGGGGGCAATAAAGGGTCATGTCCAATAGTATCTGTGACCAGGGGTCAATAAAGGGTCATGTCCAACAGTATTTGCAAAATTTGAGTCATTTGGCACCAACCTGATATACAACATTTATTTTCCTTTCCAGAATAATGCCTGTAAGAATGTAGCAGGTGAGAGCAAGTTCATGGCGTCTCCACAGTGCCTTGGGTATGGAGGGAGTAAAAAGATTTCAGCAGAGATGTGCTTTCCATCTAATGATGAGGTTCTAAGGTAAATAAATCTGGGGAGATATGTACACATGGATCACTTATCACACCCCAACATTGTTAAGGGCAGTATAAGTAATCTACCAATAGATGATTATTTGTGTCCATTTCTGGAGTAATCTTGTGATGATGACACTGATAATTCTTGCATTTAGTGATGGGTAGTTCCATATTCTCAATATGCTGTCCTTTTTCAGTGGTTTCAATACGATAACTTTTTTAACCATTATGAAGTTGGGATAAATGGTAGCCTTCGGAGGATTTCTTTTCTCATTTGTATCCTTAGGATTAGTTTTTTTCTTGCTTATGGATCTCTGTGGGAGCATTTACCTTTAACATAAAGTGGAAGGTTTTATCCTAATCAGTGGTTTGAGCTGATCCTGAAGGAGGGCTCTTCTGAAAGATCCAAGGATGCAGGGGCTCCAGTAGAAAATCTTCGATTAATTTAAAGTTGATGGAGCCAACGTCAGTTGTAGGTTTGTGGGTTGATCAGTGGGGCGCTTCGTTTTGAGTATGGATACCAAAAAATTATGCAGGGCGATTACAGAAGTAAAATATGAAAAATATAAAAAGACTGTGTTATGAACCATACACATGTCTATATTCAAAATGACAAGGTCAAAACATGGGGTCAAAGGTCAAATCACTGCAATTTTACCCTTAAGGTCAAGGTCACAGCACAATGTTAAATGTTAAAATAATAACTGAATTGCTTTTCCAGACTATAACTTCTAAACTACTGCTCATTATTTGATGATAATTTATATATAAGTATACTTTGACAAGAGGTTATGTTGTGTACCACACTCAGTTCCACACCCACATATAATGGTAATACTGGTCAGGTAAGCAGCGCAGGCCCCATGGGTCTCTTTATACTTCCTGTATATCTACCGGTAATCCTGATTTAAGCAAATTGTATATACATACTTATTTTAGTGGGATCAGATATAAGTGAACAAAATAACATCAGATGTTTTTGAACTATCATACAGCTGATACAGGCCGCTTCCCCTAGCAAAAATGGCCTTTATTTCCCCTGAATGAAGAAAAGATGGGAATATCTTCCCAATTTCAATAAAAATTATGTTTTTCCAAATTCAGGTAAAAACAGGCTGTTGTAAAATTTAGGTAGAAAAAACACTGCTGTAAGTTTTCATATGTTGCTGATCTGAATAAGTGAAATAACACATGTTCCTTCTGCGAAAACAAAAAAGGTATATTTCAGGTAACACGACTGAAACAAATAGGAAGGATGGTCCCAGTTTGTGTTTGTTTTATTCATTAAATCATTGTTTTTGAGGGGTGGAGTGCTAATTTAAGAAATAACAAAAATCACCAAACATATTTTTGGGTCTTTTAAATAATAATACAGGTTTTAAATTTGGTTTTGATTCCCTGCCTATGAAGTAGAGAGGGTTACCTGTATGTCATAGTTGCCGTGTTTGTTTGTCTATCAATTTGTTTGCATCTGATCGACAAGTTATCCCAGTACTGGACAGAGTGCATTTGAGCAAGAAAAATGGTCAGGGTTGGAGGTATGTTTTCGTTGTACAAGAGTGTTACATGTACAAATTCTCGATTCCAAATATCGTACAACAATGTTTATGCCAATTTTACACAAGTATGACTAGAAAATGTGAATGGTCCTAGGGAAAGTATTCTGTTGTAAAAATAGTAATAACTACGCGAAAATATTCTGTGGAACAAATAATGGTGTGTAATGTTATAGAAGTAAAATATACCATGGACAATTAAAATGATATTCTCAAAAGTACCAGTATATCTGTTTGTTCTTTACGGAAAAATACTGGTATAGAAAAATAATCTATAGAAAAAGTACTGATGGGTTTTAGGGGAAACATTCTGTAGAACTAATTGTCTTTTTCAGGTTATTGGAAAAAATTGTTCAACTGTCTGGTATCCAGCAAATATATGTTGCAACAGACAAGAATCCCATGACAAAAGAAATTCAGACCCATTTAACAAACTTCCAGGTAAGTAAAATGATAACTTTTTTAAACTAATTGAAATTAATAACCTTATGTACTGTAAATGCAAAACCGGATAGAAGACTCCTCTTCCCTCTTCCATCCTTTGTGTTTATTGTAACACTTCTCCTGATAAAAATCTACCGGAGTTACCTCATCTGATTTAAACTTATCTAAACTACCTCACCTGATTATAATTTACCTTAACTCTTACCGTACCTTAATATACGTTATCTACATGTACTTAACCTGATCTCAATTTACTTTGACTACCTTATCACCTAGTCTCAGTTTGCCTTGACTACCTCACCTGATCTCAATTTACCTTGACTACCTCACCTGGTCTCAGTTTACTTTGACTACCACACCTGGTCCCAGTTTACCTTGACTACTTCACCTGGTCTCTGTTTACCTTGACTACCTCACCTGGTCTCAGTTTACCTTGACTACCTCACCTGGTCCCAGTTTACCTTGACTACCTCATTTTTAGGTGATGACCCTGATGTACTTGTATACAGATAAAAACATAATAGAGATGTCTCGATAAATAAATCACACTCAACCTTGTAGCAAGGAAAATATTTTCTCTTATATTGGACTAATAGAATCCCATCCCTGATGTGAGTTATGGATAACGTAATTCAAATCCAAGGGATAAAATATTGAGCAGGAGACCCGAGGCTTTGCTGAGATCTTTTGCTCAATATGTTGTCCCGATGGTTTGAATCCTGGACAAGTGTACACTTTGTGTGAGGTATCCTTGTTTTATCCTGGACAAGTGTACACTTTGTGTAAGGTATCCTTGTTTTATCCTGGACAAGTGTACACTTTGTGTGAGGTATCCTTGTTTTATCCTGGACAAGTGTACACTTTGTGTGAGGTATCCTTGTTTTATCGGTGGCCTTGATGTACATGTCAGACATTAGACACAATGTCAAATAAGTAAGTAAATCATTACACCCCACATTTAATATCTTTCCACAACCAATTTCTGAAAAATGTAAGAACAAATGATGATAAGATCGTGTTGTTCACACGTTCACAACAGGATTGGCATAGGATCTTGAAATCTTGCAGGGGAATAATGACTTGCTAAATCTATGAAGAGTGTGTTTGGTATGTAGTTATGAAAAACATTATGTTTTTTGTCCTCGGAATTTATACAGAAAATACTCTCCTGGGTTGTAAACATAAATAACTACGTACACAGGTAAATGTGCTAGTTCTCAAAATCATTCATGGCATTCCCAGAGTAGTTCAAAGCATTATTTGTTAAAGATGTTGTCTGACTCGGATACGAATATATTTCAGAAATACCACTAATTATAACTCAATTGATTTTTCCCTTTTTTTATGAATCAAAATAACTTGAAAAAGCATTCATTTAATTCAGACACACCTGTAATGATCATTACACACATTCAGCAGTAACCAGGAGATCATTTGACCACAGGATGTAGATTTTAAGTTTTTGTGTGAGTTTGGACTTGAATGAGGGAGTTTCAAGGGAGATTGGTAAACTTTTGTCAAAATGAAGGAGTCAGCTGACTCTAATGAAGCAGTTTCACAGTTATGACTTCCAAATTCTTACATGATCTCAGCTAGTCCTCTAGAGGAACTTTTACAGTAGATCAGACTCAGCACTAGTCCTCTAGAGGAACTTTTACAGTAGCTCAGACTCAGCGCTAGTCCTCTAGAGGAACTTTAAAGTAGCTCAGACTCAGCGCTAGTCCTCTAGAGGAACTTTTACAGTAGATCAGACTCAGCGCTCGTCCTCTAAAGGAACTTTTACAGTAGCTCAGACTCAGCGCTAGTCCTCTAGAGGAACTTTTACAGTAGCTCCGACTCAGCGCTAGTCCTCTAGAGGAATTTTTACAGTAGCTCAGACTCAGCGCTAGTCCTCTAGAGGAACTTTTACTGTAGCTCCGACTCAGCGCTAGTCCTCTAGAGGAACTTTTACAGTAGCTCAGACTCAGCGCTAGTCCTCTAGAGGATTTTTTACAGTAGCTCCGACTCAGCGCTAGTCCTCTAGAGGAATTTTTACAGTAGCTCAGACTCAGCGCTAGTCCTCTAGAGGAACTTTTACAGTAGCTCCGTCTAAGCGCTTGTCCTCTAGAGGAACTTTACAGTAGCTCAGACTCAGCGCTCGTCCTCTAGAGGAACTTTTACAGTAGCTCAGACTCAGCGCTCGCCCTCTAGAGGAACATTTACAGAAGTTCAGACTCAGCGCTCCTCCTTTAGAGGAACTTTTACAGTAGCTCAGACTCAGCGCTCGTCCTCTAGAGGAACATTTACAGAAGTTCAGACTCAGCGCTCATCCTCTAGAGGAACTTTTACAGTAGCTCAGACTCAGCGCTCGTCCTCTAGAGGAACTTTTACAGTAGCTCAGACTCAGCGCTCGCCCTCTAGAGGAACATTTACAGAAGTTCAGACTCAGCGCTCATCCTCTAGAGGAACTTTTACAGTAGCTCAGACTCAGCGCTCGCCCTCTAGAGGAACATTTACAGAAGTTCAGACTCAGCGCTCATCCTCTAGAGGAACTTTTACAGTAGCTCAGACTCAGCGCTCGTCCTCTAGAGGAACATTTACAGTAGCTCAGACTCAGCGCTCGTCCTCTAGAGGAACATTTACAGTAGCTCAGACTCAGCGCTCGTCCTCTAGAGGAACATTTACAGAAGTTCAGACTCAGCGCTCATCCTCTAGAGGAACTTTTACAGTAGCTCAGACTCAGCGCTCGTCCTCTAGAGGAACATTTACAGAAGTTCAGACTCAGCGCTCATCCTCTAGAGGAACTTTTACAGTAGCTCAGACTCAGCGCTCGTCCTCTAGAGCAACATTTACAGTAGCTCAGACTCAGCGCTCGTCCTCTAGAGGAACATTTACAGTAGCTCAGACTCTGCACTAGTCCTCTAGAGGAACTTTTACAGTAGCTCAGACTCAGCACTAGTCCTCTAGAGGAACTTTTACAGTAGCTCGGACTCAGCGCTCGTCCTCTAGAGGAACATTTACAGTAGCTCAGACTCAGCGCTCGTCCTCTAGAGGAACTTTTACAGTAGCTCAGACTCAGCGCTCGTCCTCTAGAGGAACATTTACAGTAGCTCAGACTCAGCACTAGTCCTCTAGAGGAACTTTTACAATAGCTCAGAACAGTGGAGCTCTTATATAATTATGTCATGTTTTTGCTGTAGATTTTCAATTTCAATCCCAAAAGTGCTTGAAACTATTTTTTTTTATCTGACTTATGATAAATGGTTTATATTACAGGTTAAAGTTCATCACTTAGATCCCTGGCTACCACAGATAGACCTGGCCATATTAGGAAAATCTGACTACTTTATCGGCAACTGTATATCATCCTTTACAGCGTTTGTTGCGCGGGAGCGACTTGTCACTGGTAAACCTACATTTTATTGGGGATACAGCAGCTGACATAGACCTTACAACTAGGATGAACACCATACAATGACAGTTTTCTATGTCTTGTATAAACAGACTGTTCTTGATTAAATTGCTCTTTTTTATATGTTGATATATGTGAAATGCAATGATTCTTGTACACAATTATTTTTGTGATAAGCATGAAAAGTCAGGATAAATTAAGAAAGTGCATCGTTTCTATTGGAAGTTTTCATTTTTTTCTAAATGATGGAGAGTTTTCAAGCAAGTGTCTCAGAATTTGACTTTTTCAGGGGTAAATAAAGAATTTCTCCTATAATAATTCTGTCATTGCAAAACATGGAAATATGGAGATTGGCCCTGAAGAGAGTAACTCCTGCTTTTCAAACAAGAACTATTTTTCATATGGCCAGAATGGTCTTATTCCCTGATATGGACACTTTGATGAGTGCTGGGGACATGTTAGCTGAAAGTTGCTAGCTTGATTGACATTGACGTTTTACATGGTACCTATATATTAGGTCTGTTAACTCTGACACATTAAGATGAATGGAGTTAGCACACTGAAGTTATTTCTTGGTCTTAGAATTTACACACCATAGCCAATAGGTTTATGTGATATATATAGAGGTTACACTACGAGTGGTTGTTGAATATGGTATTTATTTCACTCGAGTTAGTTAATTTTCAAAAGTTACAAAAGACACGAGCTTTAGCGAGTGTCTTTCTGTACCTTTTGAAAATTCACTAACTCGAGTGAAATAAATACCATACTCAAAACCCACGAGTCGTGTGATCTGTTTCTACCACAATCTCATGATCAGTCGGAAATAACATACGCACATGTGTTTGTTGACAAGGCTGGCGGAGTGATATGACCCATATGTAAAAAGTCACTCATTAATAGTCAAAAATGTTTTTTTTTTTACAAATTTAATAATTGTCAAAATTAATGTTTCGGCAACGACTTCATGAAAATATAATAGATGAAAGACTTTAAACATTGGGAGTAGCAGTATTGCATTTATTTATATAAAGTAACCACGGACTATATGCGCGTAAGCATATCGTACGAAGTCTGCTGCCCGCCAAGTGACGAAGACAAACTTTCTACGTTTCTTCGTGACGGTTCTATGGTTGACGTTTATAGTGACAGTTCAGCCATAGTCAGACCGTCCAAATAGCGATAACAGGACATTGGGAGAACGAAATATTTTCCAACAATATGACAGATCTTGTTTTGGTTTCACGACCTGGACACGTGACGGTGTGATGTCGAAACGCTCTTGAGCGACTTCAGCAATTTTGCCTTAAACTAGCGATCAAATCTTTAAGTATCATCTTCTTTTAGTATTGCCTTAATAACCCCCCTTTCCGCATAACCTCACAAAGTCACCAACATTTGTCGAATGTTGACAGCAGACGACGTAAACAAAACAGATTGTGGCAAAAAGCGCGTGGAAAAAGTCGTCCCGGTCAAAGTTCATCTTCTCGACCAATCAAAACTTGTGTAGATCATATACCACGTGTGGTATATAACTCATATTTATCTAACAGTCAGCGCGTTTATACAATGATCTGAGAGTGGAATAACACAGCGTATTGTGGTAGAAAACATTCTTGTAGACCTACTGAAATTAATCTGATGTGCCTCCCATTAGGCCATTTTCAGATTCTCTGTGACACATTTTTCACTGTCTTCCAAAACACTTGATTATATTACATTTAATCATAAGGTATATCTGCCTTGACATTAACTGGTCAGCCTCACTGTTGTGCGGATAGTGACAGTATTTTGATCTGTCTAGTGTTGCTGCTGAAGGAACCTTACTGTAGGTAATAATTTGGAAGGGTTTTAAGCTCACCTGTATAGAGTCACATACTGAAATTCAACTTCAAGTTTCATAAACTAATGAGCCCTGAGATAAGTCTATGAATCCCACATGGAAAGAGAACACATACAGTCATCCAACAAGGAGAGAGATCACACATGGGGTAATCCAAAATGGAGAGAGATCACACATACAGTAATCCCACATGGAGAGAGATCACACACACAGTAATCCCTCATGGAGAGAAATCCCACATACAGTAATCCCACATGGAGAGAGATCACACATAAGGTAATCCCACATGGAGTGAGATCACACATACAGTAATCCCACATGGAGAGAGATTACACATACGGTAATCCCACGTGGAGAGAGATCACACATAAGGTAATCCCACGTGGAGAGAGATCACACATAAGGTAAACCCACATGGAGAGAGATTACACACACAGTAATCCCACATGGAGAGAAATCACTTATACAGTAATCCCACATGGAGAGAGATCACACATACAGTAATCCCACATGGAAAGAGATCACGCATGGAGAGAGATCACACATACAGGAATCCCACATGGAGAGAGATCACACATAGTAATCCAACATGGAGAGAGATCACACATAAGGTAATCCCACATGGAGAGAGATCACACATAAGGTAATCCCACATGGAGAGAGATCAAACATACAGTAATCCCACATGGAGAGAGATCAAACATACAGTAATCCCACATGGAGAGAGATCACACATACTGTAATCCCACATGGAGAGAGATCACACATACAGTAATCCCACATGGAGAGAGATCACACATACTGTAATCCCACATGGAGAGAGATCACACATAAGTTAATCTCACATGGAGAGAGATCAAACATACAGTATTCCTACATAGAAAGAGATCACACATACGGTAATCCCACATGGAGAGATATCACACATACAGTAATCCCACATGGAGAGAGATCACACACACAGTAATCCCACATGGAGAGAGATCAAACATACAGTATTCCTACATAGAAAGAGATCACACATACGGTAAACCCACATGGAGAGATATCACACATACAGTAATCCCACGTGGAGAGAGATCACACATACAGTAATCCCACGTGGAGAGAGATCACACATAAGGTAATCCCACATGGAGAGAAATCACACATACGGTAAAGCCACATGGAGAGATATCACACATACGGTAATCCCACATGGAGAGAGATCACACATAAGGTAATCCCACATGGAGAGAAATGACACATACAGTAAAGCCACATGGAGAGATATCACACATACAGTAATCCTACATGGAAAGAGATCACACACGGTAATCCCACGTGGAGAGAGATCAAACATACAGTATTCCTACATAGAAAGAGATCACACATACGGTAAACCCACATGGAGAGATATCACACATACAGAAATCCCACGTGGAGAGAGATCACACATACAGTAATCCCACGTGGAGAAAGATCACACATAAGGTAATCCCACATGGAGAAAGATCACACATACAGTAATCCCACATGGAGAGGGATCACACATAAGGTAATCCCACATGGAGAGGGATCACACATACAGTAGTCCCATATGGAGAGAGATCCCTTATACAATAATTCCACATGGAGAGAGATCACGCATACAGTAATCCCACATGGAGAGAGATCACGCATAAGGTAATCCCACATGGAGAGAAATCACACATATGGTAATTCCACATGGAGAGAGATCACACATACGGTAATCCCACATGGAGATAGATCACACATATAGTAATCCCACATGGAGAGAGATCACACATACAGTAGTCCCATATGGAGAGAGATCACTTATACAATAATTCCCCATGGAGAGAGATCACACATACAGTAATCCCACATTGAGAGAGATCACACATAAGGTAATTCCACATGGAGAGAGATCACACATACAGTAATCACACGTGCAGAGAGATCACACATAAGGTAATCCCACATGGAGAAAGATCACACATACAGTAATCCCACATGGAGAAAGATCACACATAAAGCAATCCCACATGGAGAGAAATCACACATATGGTAATTCCACATGGAGAGAGATCACACATACGGTAATCCCACATGGAGATAGATCACACATACGGTAATCCCACATGGAGATAGATCACACATACAGTAACCCCACATGGAGAGAGATCACACATAAGGTAATTCCACATGGAGAGAGATCACACATACGGTAATCCCACATGGAGATAGATCACACATACAGTAATCCCACATGGAGAGGGATCACACATAAGGTAATCCCACATGGAGAGAGATCACACATACAGTAGTCCCATATGGAGAGAGATCACTTATACAATAATTCCCCATGGAGAGAGATCACACATACAGTAATCCCACATTGAGAGAGATCACACATAAGGTAATTCCACATGGAGAGAGATCACACATACGGTAATCCCACATGGAGATAGATCACACATACGGTAATCCCACATGGAGATAGATCACACATACGGTAATCCCACATGGAGATAGATCACACATACGGTAATCCCACATGGAGATAGATCACACATACGGTAATCCCACATGGAGAGATATCACACATACAGTAATCCCACGTGGAGAGAGTTCACACATAAGGTAATCCCACATGGAGAGAAATGACACATACAGTAAAGCCACATGGAGAGATATCACACATACAGTAATCCCACGTGGAGAGAGTTCACACATAAGGTAATCCCACATGGAGAGAGATCACACATACAGTAGTCCCATATGGAGAGAGATCACTTATACAATAATTCCACATGGAGAGAGATCACACATACAGTAATCCCACATGGAGAGAGATCACACATACAGTAATCCCACATGGAAAGAGATCACACATACGGTAATCCCACATGGAGAGGGATCACACATAAGGTAATCCCACATGGAGAGAGATCACACATACAGTAGTCCAATATGGAGAGAGATCACTTATACAATAATTCCACATGGAGAGAGATCACACATACTGTATTCTCTTTCTCCCCAGAATATTTGTTATCATATGCCGAAGTGCTATTAATTTGATATGTTTAAATTCTTATTTGTACTTAAATAAATAAGCTATCTTACAGTTCCATTTATTTCAAAGAGTTCCAAATTGAAAAACCCAAAGAAAGAAATTTTAGAAATAGTTATTTTGGTTTTGATGTCTGTTGATCACACTTGTGCTCTGTTAGCGCTTTAGTAATTTTGAATTATCAGCTTATGATAGTTAGGAAGAAATAAGGGAGGTAACTCTTACAAAAAAGTGACAGGTATAATGTGTAAGGTATTCCTGAAGTTGATAACAAGCTGGCCCTGTGTCTTCGCCTCTAGGCTATTCCTATAACTTTTTCATTTGTTGAGTTTAAGTCTCAAATATGTTTCATAAAGCACACAAGTCATATTACCTACAAAATGTAGCTACATGCTTTGTAGTCAAAGTTATAAATGTAACATTTAGCTAATAAAGTGTTTTGAAGTTAAAGGGGGAAAAAACTAAAAAAAAACCTGTTACAGCATCTACCTCTAGTCTAAATCAAATAAACCGTTATGGTCTTTATAGCTTTGATAAAAAAAATTACCTCAAGTCTAAATTTCACGATTAAATGTAGTTGCAACTTAATGTTTAATGAAATGATGCAGAATGTTTTCACTTCTAGTCCAATCTAATAATAATTCATTGTCATATTTGTTGGTTGAAAATTTAGTTAAGATTTTTTTTTTATATATATATATAAAGGAATAAAAGTGTTTGAACACTTTAACTGAAAGATAAGCTTCGGCTGGTATATTTTTAATAAAATCTCATTTGATACTTTTTAATCCTTATTCTGTACTGTATAATTGTACTGCTATGTCAAATAAAAGGATTCAAAACACAGATTGAGTAATTGTCATTTGTTTAATGATACAGTAAAACCTTGTTATAGTGCCTCCTTATGTCCAGATTAACTGGTTTTACTGTATATGGTGGAATTCCATATGATATTGCAGAGAATTGTGAAAAAGAAAAAATCAAGAAGATTTTCTTTGTCAGTGTTGACTGTCTGTAGATTCTCAGCTGCTAACATTACTAATGTTTGACGTTCAGAAACAAATTGTGAAAACTGTAAAACAAACACTGTTATCCTGAAATCTCTATAGACCAGACAATATGGCCTGGTGCATACATCTTTAGGTAGAGAGAACCTTTACTGTCTGAAATGGTTCAATCTTAATAGAATCATCTGTTCTGTATGACTACCAGATAACTTCTAGTTATGATAATTATGTCTGATTGATGCTGGTTGCAGTGCCATTAACCGTTTAGACAGATCCCTGTGTGTTCTACTGTGTGAATTGTATACTTCAGATTATAATATGTTTGTGATTATTTGGTGCCACATTAACCATTGTCCCTTTACCATGAAACAATTTGAAAGTGACTGGAATAACAAGATGTCAGCCTGAGTTGGCCATCATATATTCCGAGTTAAAGTTAATTACTACTATTTTTCAAAAGGAACTGGATGGATCTTTCTTGAATTTTCATACATAGGTTCCTCTTGATCTATAGAAATGTGTTGTTATTTTGGGATTGGTCAGAAGACCAAGGTTAAGCTGCCAGGTGATTGGTATGTACCAATCATAGATGTTGACACATAAAGTTTGCTATTTCATGGAAGTTACACGAGCTGCCTTTCGTAAGTTTCCTCTTTGTTCTTAGTTATGCATGTTTCATTTTTAGCTTGGTTCAAATAGAATACCTTGACCCACTTTTATGGTTACAGGGGTTAAATGAACTTCAACAACTACATCTGAATAACCAAGAGGCCTAGATCCTAATATTGGCTTATATATGTGGAAGAATTAATTGTTATCAAGTATGTTGGAATAAATTACTTTGGTCTTCTATCAAGGTCACAGGGGTGAAATGGGCTAAACATTTAAGCAACATCTGCTGAATATGGCCATGGTATTTGGCCAGTAGAAAATTACAGGGGTGAAAGGCTATCAGATCCATACAAACAAATGCCCTTGACCCACTTTCAATATCATCTGTATTGATAATTTAAAAAAAAAAATGCTAAATAACCAAGAGGTCTTAGGTCTTGAAATTTTGCCTTAAGCATACTAAAGTGCTGGGCTACCAAAGGTCAAAAAACATTATTTGAATTTCTTTCAAGGTTAGGGTTGACAAGTTTTGAAACCAGGAGTGTCTATTGACAGTAGACATGCATACACCTTCTGAATAACTAAGAAACTTATGGTCATGATATTTGGCATGTAGCCCGCTGGAATGAAAAGCTGTCAATCATGTTATAATACGTGACCTTGAGAAATTTTCAGGATCATAGAGGTAAAATCTCTAAAATCCATAAGGTCTAGGTCTGGAGTGCCATCATGGTATTGATTTATGGCATTTATAGCTTGGTTGGATGAAGGAATATAAAGTTTGTTTAATAAATGGCCTTTCCATTATTCAAAGTCACTGAGGTAGCAGAGTACAGTAGCGTACGGTGGCCATGGGTGATATTTTTATACAATGAATAACCCCTGTAATATAACATGTATCAAAATTTAAAAAAAAAATCAGCACTAAAATTGGCATATACATGATGAAGTGGACTATGTGGGCTTCATAATTTAAAAAAAAGAAAAGTCGAATTTGGTTTGAGACTACAATTTTGGGCATTTACGAATCTGTGTCTACACAACAAAAGCTAGCTTTTCAGGTAGTCTATTTTTGTACTCAGCACATGTGTAAATATTGTGAAAAATCCACCGGAATGACCTATGCTAAAACGTGAGTATTTCTGTTACCGAGTAGGCGATATTTAATTTCAGACAGGTTTTAAGAAAAACAATTCTACTTGCGGGGGTCAAATTCTGGGTTAAAAATCATGATTTTTTGCATATTTTGGTGTTTTTTGATGTGGTAACCATGGTTTTCAGAAGTCCCAAATCTGGGGAAATTACTTTTTGAAAAAAAAAATGTTCTTCTAAAAAACACCTATTAAACATGTAGTTTATAAATATATATATATATGTAGGTGTGTTGTGCAGGATGAATCCGCTATCCATGTTTATCCGAGAGATGCCCTTTATTTTTAGGGTCAAGCCATTTCTACTGTACTCTGCCACCTTATACACACAGACATTGATTTTTTCTGAAAAAAAGCCTTTTTATGCTTTATTCAGCTTCACTTTCATTCATTATTGCTTAAAACTACTCAAAACGTTTAAAAAGTTACATATAAAGGTCAATATATAGGTCACTAGCCTATTACCTGTGAATGTATAAAGAGGGGTTAACTCGCCCTTTTCACAGGCACTTCACACTTCATCACATATGTGTCAATTGTGTAATTGGTAAAGTTGATACCAAACAACAAATAATTAACAGGCTATCTCCTGATGCATTCAGACCAGATTTCAGTCTGTTTCACTTAGTTCAGCACCCGGTATCCATGGTAACTAACACATAAAGTTGTATTTATTGAAAATGGGTAAAATATCTGTTTTCATTCTAATTACACTATTTTATATGTTTTTTTCCACTTGATTCAGCTTACAGATTAAATTAACAAAGTCAATAATGTCAATAAATTTTATTTCCATAATTACAGCTGAAGAAAACTTTTTTTTCTAGTGAAATATGTAAAATGACCAATGTCTGGGGTCACTGTCAATTCTAGGCGAGGAAAGTAAACAACGGTTGCTATGGTGTCATTTGTCTGATGTTTCAGAATATCTGACAGTTTTGTGCTGTTCATCGGTTACGGGAAGTGTGTCTGTTTCTAGTTTGTTGTTGTGATGGGTTTCCTGGTATTCATTTTGATATCAGTGAGCCTTGATGATGTCACATATGCCCATTGATGACGTCATAGTTATGATGACATCACAGTAACTATGACGTCATCACACAAGACAGAAACATCCTTGTATCACTGTTCTGTTTTGTTTTTCACATGCACATGATCTTAAAGCATCATATTTTACCCCAAAAAAAAAATTATTCCTGAAAACTACAAAGTTATTCAAGTTTTAATTTTTCAGATTACCTCCCTTTGTTGGTAGTTTGAGAGCAGAATTGGTAAAAAATCACCTAGCAGGAGAATTCATATTACTCGGTCACTTTTAAAGTGAGAAAGGAAACGGATACATCTTTTTGTTCATTGTGTCATTTTCCAGACATTTAAAAGGTTTTGATTGAATTTTTGGGGAAAAAAAGGGATGTATAAGGTAGCAGAGTACAGTAGCGTACGGTGGCCATGGGTGATATTTTTATACAATGAATAACCCCTGTAATATAACATGTATCAAAATTTAAAAAAAAAATCAGCACTAAAATTGGCATATACATGATGAAGTGGACTATGTGGGCTTCATAATTTAAAAAAAAGAAAAGTCGAATTTGGTTTGAGACTACAATTTTGGGCATTTACGAATCTGTGTCTACACAACAAAAGCTAGCTTTTCAGGTAGTCTATTTTTGTACTCAGCACATGTGTAAATATTGTGAAAAATCCACCGGAATGACCTATGCTAAAACGTGAGTATTTCTGTTACCGAGTAGGCGATATTTAATTTCAGACAGGTTTTAAGAAAAACAATTCTACTTGCGGGGGTCAAATTCTGGGTTAAAAATCATGATTTTTTGCATATTTTGGTGTTTTTTGATATGGTAACCATGGTTTTCAGAAGTCCCAAATCTGGGGAAATTGCTTTTTGAAAAAAAAATGTTCTTCTAAAAAACACCTATTAAACATGTAGTTTATAAATATATATATATATGTAGGTGTGTTGTGCAGGATGAATCCGCTATCCATGTTTATCCGAGAGATGCCCTTTATTTTTAGGGTCAAGCCATTTCTACTGTACTCTGCCACCTGAGGTTAAATTTGTTAAAACCATCAAGCAACTGCTTCTCAAAGGAACTAGAAGACCTAAGATTATGATATTTTGGCTGTATTTATTTGGCTACCAAAATTACATTGATCTTAATTGACTGACAATTAGACTTAGTTTAAAGTATATAGTTCACGATTTAACCAGTGATTAGCTGGAATGAAAGGCTAACAAAGTTGTTCTATTAACGACAATGTTAAGACGAGGAATATGCTGTACACTGCCAAGCAACCATATCTAGTACATTCAAACACAAGAGTCCATATGTACAGAAAGCAGGCAGGGGAGTCGCACCATTTTTGGACATTGCATCAAATGGACTGTAATATATTAATAGGACAAAAAAAATCAAATCATGTAAATGATACATATAATGACGATGGAATGGATTCAAATATCTTATAAAGATAGGATATCTTATTTTATCATATTGCTATTGGTGATCATTAAAAATGTGGCTTTATTTTTTATAAAAAGATATATATAGTCAGAATTGCTGAGTGATAATAATGTTATATCATAGAGTTGACTGGTACAAATAGAAGATCAGTTTGGTGAAAAAATGTTGTTGCTAAATCTCCCACATCGAAAATAAATACACTGGAGGAATATGATCTCCCACTCACAGTCGGGGAGATTGACAACCCTGCTGAGAAAAAAATAATCATAAAAGCAATATTTATCAGTTCGCCATTTGAAATTTGGTATCAAAACATGTTTTCAATCATTTAGAAATATTAATGAGCCATGTATGAAACCATTTTTGTTCGAATCGAAAGACATCTCAAAATAATATTGTCTCTTGCTTTGATGAGTTATGCATCCTTAATCTTTGGTTTGCAAGAGTTACCTCCCTGCGTAGTGTACATATGTTGCTAATGGTGACGTCAAGCAGGGCTTAGCTGTCGAGCACGAACCGAAAATAGCCCGCCGTTGCTTGTGGCAGGAAGTACCAAAGTGAATACGTGAAAATTTGGATTTGTGGTTTATTTCATTGTTCGTTACACGTCAGGTAAGTAAGACATATTGTTTCGAATTCAAAGACATCGAATAGATTATCTTGCATTGAGCTGACATGGACAGCTGATGGATTCTCTTCATCTTATGAGATATTCTCATATGGTGCTGTGATTATGGTGCAAATGAATTTTTACTGTATTGCAAAGAAGCGTACCAACAGTCTTCACAAACTAAACTTCTAATTATATAATTCGATGTGATCTGTTTATGAATGTGTATTATTACGATACAGTAAAATACCGAGACTGGCGAGAGCTAATATCGTCCGCTAATATAACAGCAACATATTACTGTGCAGCCTATGATACTGTAACACCAACAATGCTCATCCAGCAGGGCCCAGGGGTTGGCACTAACTTTTAATAACTGGTGGACCCCCGTACTCCTCTCTTATTCAGGAGGGGGGTCCCCCCCAAAAGAAAATCAACCTAGCTAGATGCACAATCCTGGCATCTTAGTGTTTTTACACAAATAATGAAGGTTTTTAATTTTCTGTAAAATGCTTGTTTTGGCTCCTTACCTTTTTTTTTATTTTTCCTTTTAAGACTGATTTTTAAGAAATGACACAGAAACATGAAACAGTTTTCTGTGTTATTCTTTTTTTACGTAGGCCCCCAACAGGAGTCTGTACATGTGTATATATTTTTTGTTGCAAATCTGTTCAATCCTTCCTGGACATTTCGGAATCATCTTCTGAGTGTACCCTACATTTCATTAAGTTTGTGTCAGTATCATAATTGAGCCACGACTTTTTCCATGCCACTCCTGAAAGGTTCTCATCCTTTTTTGTTGCTCATGAATACACAGTTTGTGTATTTTCTTTTCTGTTGAAGTTTTTAACTTTTTTTTTGCGATTGGTTGTACCACAGGTACAATAGCCTCGTCTGTCAATACACCTATAACAGAATGAAGGTTCCCAAATCCGTCCCCCTAGTAAAATGACCCAGTTCCAGAAAACATGCGATTTTGTCATAACCGTAGTATAATTTTCAGTAGACTTCATGAAACATTGAAAAATGGTTGAATTTCAGTTGTTCGGACACTGCTGTCGGGGTACAGTCGTTTCGGTACACGTTAGTTTCGGTACTTCAAAAATAAGAGGTTTCGGTACTTTTTGTAAGTAGTTTCGGTACTTCACCGATTTTTTCGGTACTTCGTTTTTTAGTTCATAAATATTTCTCATTTGTCATTTATTGTTGGTTGTTTATTTTCGGTACTTCGTTTATTAGTTGATAAATATTATTTATTGTTGGTTGTTTATTTAACGTTTGCTTTCGTAGTTGTTAAAACAATCAAGCAGATCAGTCAATCATTGTTTTCAAACTCCAAATGTGATCCCGCAACATACGTGATGGTTGTTTATTTAACGTTCGCGTTTTTAACTGAGCAGCTGAGTAGATCGGAGTAGCTCAACGTTGAGGGAATTCACCAACTTGTCATAAAAATGACGGTTATATATATGTCCCGCTATACTTAAAAATTATTGAAATATGAATTAAACATGTTATATATATGTCCCGTTAGACTTAGCTAATAATTAGGGATTTCCGTTTCGGATGGAAATACCTATTGTTATTGTTATGTGTTTTAGTATTATTATTATTCTTAATTAATTATTATTAATACATTATATATATGTCCCGTTATATTTAGAAATTATTGAATATTGAAATATGAATGAAACATGTTATATATATGTCCTGCTATACTTAGCTATTTATTAATTAAACATGTTATATATATAAAATTATTCATCAATGTAATAATATTAATCTTGTTTTGTTTTTGGTATTCATGATTCGTGACGTGTAAAAACAAACTTATGTCACTGACATATTAGATATCAAGTTCGTGCTTATATCAAATATACATGGACTGTATCAAAACAAGCAAAGACCACTTCAAAAAATCTATCAAAGAAAAATATTAGAAACATGAGCAAATCAAAATAACAATCTGATACAAACACGTGTATTATAGCACAAGTTTGACTTAGAGTTACTTCCCTTGAAGGTATACAGCACGCAAAAAGTGGTGACGTTGACTAAAACTTGGTACCAAAGTGCGTTTTCCATAAGTACCTAAACGATTTTCAGAAGTACCGAAACAACTTTCAGAAGTACCGAAACGACTTTACCGAAACGACTTTCAGAAATACCGAAACGACTTTCAGAAGTACCGAAACGACTTTCAGAAGTACCGAAACGACCGGGTACCTAAACGACCTGAATTCCTGCTGTCCACGGGATGACACGCTAAATCCCTAGTGGGTAGCGCAAAACACATGTCATGTCCTGATACCTGAAAATAGCTGTTATAACAATTAACATAAAGTTATCCCGGTGCATGTGTATCATAAAACGCCAATAAATTGCGGGCCCATGTGGCTTTCAGCAGTTCCTATCCCATCTACCTTTTCTTTCTAACGGTACCGGTGTCTCCCTTTAGGGAGCTGTCCTCATTAATAACTCTGGGTGTTGTTAAAGGATGTCAATAACCCCAAACATAGCATGATCAAAGGATACAAAATATCAGCCATTTTCATCCAAATTTACCATTATACTTAAACTTCCACAAAGTTGCATGGTTTAATAGGAAAGATTTATAAAACTTTATGGTGGACTTTTACAACTATTCTATAAAATGATCCTTGGAGTGAGGATCCTTATATTAAGGATTTGAATCTATACTCAATTAACTCTGGAAGGGGTTCATTCCACTAGGGGCTTCAATGCTGGGGAGATGGTGGTCATGTTAATTATATAAGTGGTCACTTTGAAAAATCTTCAAATGACATCTCGGAAAGTTACTTGCAGGTGGAGCTAGACTAACATGTCATGATTAATCCAAAGTTGATGAGGGTCAGAACGCTTTCTCAAGACGGCTTATAATCCCCTCAGGTGGGTTCAAGGGCTCCATAGTCTTCATTAGCACATTAAGCCCTCGAATGAAATCTCTAAAAGTTGCTGGTGATTTATTTTTGAAATCACTCTCTGATGTTCACTATACAGTGAGGACCATTCAAATGCCCAATTGGATTTCATTCATTTAAAGGTAGATCAACCTAACACTATGTGTATCAGTCAGGATTTCAATCAGGTGACCATGCATTAGGGCCTATGGGACTCTTGTTTACTTCCCTTTTTGGGGTTTGGATAGGTGGGTGGGTTATGGCATCAAATTGATGGGCATTGCACCTCTGCTCATTGCTATTGATTAATTGGAAATATTTAAGGTGCATTGATTTATAGCCAACCCACATAATACAAGGCATGTATGCAGTGCTGGGTCCAGACCAGTTATCGTGATGTACCAATTGGTGTCACCTGTTTGTAGCTCTGTCACCTGTCTATAGCTCTATCACCTGTCTGTAGCCCTATCACCTGTCTAAAGCTCTAATACCTGTCTATAGCTCTATCACCTGTCTATAGCGCTAGCACCTGTCTATAGCTCTATCACCTGTCTGTAGCTCTATCACATGTCTATCGCTCTCTGTCACCTGTTTGTAGCTCTGTTACCTGTCTATAGCTCTATCACCAGTCTATAACTCTATCACCTGTCTATCGCTCTATCACCTGTCTATAGCTCTATCACCTGTCTTTAGCTCTGTCACCTGTCTATAGCTCTATCACCTGTCTATAGCTCTATCACCTGTCTATAGCGCTAGCCCCTGTCTATAGCTCTATCCCCTGTCTGTAGCTCTATCACATGTCTATCGCTCTCTGTCACCTGTGTGTAGCTCTGTCACCTGTCTGTAGCCCTATCACCCGCCTTTAGCTCTATCACCTGTTTATAGCTCTAGCACTTGTCTATCGCTCTCTGTCACCTATCTATAGCTGTATCACCTGTCTGTAGCTCTATCTCCTGTCTATAGCTCTGTCACGTGTCTATATCTCTATCACCTGTCTATAGCTCTACCACCTGTCTACAGCTCTATCACCTGTCTATAGCTCTAGCACCTGTCTATAGCTCTGTCACCCGTCTATAGCTCTATCACCTGTCTTGAGCTCTGTCACCTGTCTATAGCTCGATCACCTGTCTATAGCTCTATCAACTGTCTATAGCTCTGTCACCTGTCTGTAGCTCTATCACCTGTCTATCGCTCTATCGCCTGTCTATAGCTCTATCACCTGTTTGTCGCTCTGTCACCTGTCTATAGCTCTATAACCTGTCTATAGCTCTATCACCTATCTATAGCTCTGTCACCTGTCTATAACTCTATCACCTGTCTATCGTTCTCTGTCACCTGTTTGTAGCTCTGTCACCTGTCTATAGCTCTATCACCTGTCTATAACTCTATCACCTGTCTATCGCTCTCTGTCACCTGTTTGTAGCTCTGTCACCTGCCTTTAGCTCTATCACCTGTCTATAGCATTAGCACTTGTCTATCGCTCTCTGTCACCTGTGTGTAGCTCTGTCACCTGTCTGTAGCCCTATCACCCGCCTTTAGCTCTATCACCTGTTTATAGCTCTAGCACTTGTCTATCGCTCTCTGTCACCTATCTATAGCTGTATCACCTGTCTGTAGCTCTATCACCTGTCTAAAGCTCTATCCCATGTCTAAAGCTCTATCACATGTCTATCGCTCTCTGTCACCTGTTTGTAGCTCTGTCACCTGTCTATAGCTCTAGCACCTGTCTATCGCTCTCTGTCACCTGTGTGTAGCTCTGTCACCTGTCTATAGGTCTACACTTGTCTATAGCTCTATCACCTGTCTATCGCTCTAGCACCTGTCTATCGCTCTCTGTCACCTGTGTGTAGCTCTGTCACCTGGCTATAGCTCTTACACCTGTCTGTAGCTCTATCACCTGTCTCTAGCTCTATCACATGCCTATCGCTCTCTGTCACCTGTTTGTTGCTCTGTCACCTGTCTATAGGTCTACGCTTGTCTATAGCTCTATCACCTGTCTATAGCATTAGCACTTGTCTATCGCTCTCTGTCACCTGTGTTTAGCTCTGTCACCTGTCTATAGCTCTAGCACTTGTCTATCG